GTCGTTAAAGCTGTTAGGAAGTTGAAGAAATCTGTTTCACCGGGTCCTGATGGTGTACCTGCAATCATTTTTTGCCGCTGTGTTGCTGTTTTAGCTGATCCCCTAGCTCGCATCTTTACCGCTTCGTTGCACCAAGGAGTTTTCCCCGAAATATGGAGACATTCCTTTATGTTCCCTGTCCATAAGAAGGGCGACAAACGTGACGTGACAAATTATCGTGGCATAACAAGTCTATCTGCAGCTTCAAAATTATTCGAGATCATTGTGAACGATGCTATCTTCTTTCATGTCAAGAGCTACATTTCAGCAACGCAACACGGATTTATGCCAGGACGCTTAGTTACATCAAATTTGCTGGAGTTCACCTCAACATGTATAAATCACTTGGAAAATAGGGCTCAAGTAGATACCGTTTATACCGATCTGAAAGCGGCATTCGATTGCATCGATCATGGTATTCTTCTTCGGAAAATGTCTCGCCTGGGAATTTCGGATGGTTTGGTTGATTGGCTGAAATCATATCTTTCCAACAGAACACTTCGTGTCAAGCTGGGTTCGTGCACTTCATCACCATTTGCTGCAACCTCCGGTGTTCCCCAGGGCAGCAATTTAGGACCATTGCTGTTCACAATCTTCTTCAACGATGTGACGCTCCCTCTTGCCGAGTGGTTGTGTGCTCATTAGAGTGATGCAAAATTTAAAATTTTCGCTCCACAGTACTTAAACGATTCCAAATCGGATTCTGACTAACCTCTCAAAATTTGAACCCATTTGGTGAGAAACTGAGATGGCACAAACCATTTGAAGTTTGTATGGGAATTACTATGGTAAAACCAATACTTTTGTTCATGTCTATCTAATAATTCACCATATCAATCTGTTTCAAAAGTTTTCAATTGTACTTGTAGGAAATTTTCCCAGCTACAACTTTGCTGAAGACCACTTTCTGGTTAAATGCAAGGATTGAAAGTTATCAATGGTTCAATGCACTGATGTCTTATGATCTTACTCAATCAACTGTTCAGCAGGCAACATTGGTGTTTCTGGGGCATTGAATAGGACACAAAAATCATGGCTACTATGTCACACTGCAAAATACAGTGTTGCCTACAGAGCAGCTGCTTGATCATGTCATAAGTTTACCAATCTCTTAAATAATTGATAACTTTTTCATGTCTCGTTTTACATAGAAACAATTTTCAGCAAAGTTGTAGCTGAGAAAATTTTCCATAAGAATGGCTATCAAACTGTTTTGCAGCTCAATATGGAAAAAAGACTAGAAGGCAATGAACAAAAAGTTGAGATTTCCCATAGTAATTTACATGTAAACTTCAAATGGCTTGTGCGAAGTCTGTTTCCAACCGAGTTGTAACTTTGGGAGGCTAATCAGGGCCCGATTTTAAGCCATTTAAGCACTGTGGAGCAAAAAAGTCAAATATTGCATCAGTCTAATATTCATAGAGGTCCTTGTACTGCTGGGGAATGTCGATACGTATTAACCTCAAGTATCCCATTAGATCTGGACCTATGTTCGGCTGCCTTAGCGCGATAGTATCGGATTAATAGGAACTGATGAATGCAATTACATTTAATTCCGTCAGTCCGACATCAAGCACATACCCATCATCCACGATCCGGCCATTTTGCAGATGCATCTCAGTTATCATACTTCTGTTGAACTAGTTTGTCTCGAGAGGCCCTGATGCGATGGGTGGCCTACCGATCAGTTATTGTAAGGTCAGTAAGGCCTTGCTGAACCTCTATAATTAACGCGGTAGAGGGGGTTTCGGTGAAGTCAATGGTTCCCGCATGACGCATACCCCTCATCATCCCTCTCCAACTGGGGAGTTTGGTAAAGAGAGATGATCAACCCGATTTGTACCTTCCTCAAAGTTGTCCTTGCTTGCTTTCTACTCTCTATATACAATTTTCACACTGCCGTACTCTAACGGAATCATCAACTCTATACTACTCAACTAGTGTTAAAAACTTTACATAATTTACTCTGGAGCAGGTTCTAGATGCCCCGGGGAAGTGGTCAATTCGAGACATGATCGGAACCATATCAATATCGGTGTCAAACTTCAAGATTTTGCAAGCCAATGCCAATGGCAGCTTTTCAAGTCCACAGCTTGCTCTACCCGAAATCAGGTGCGTGCCGCTTGTAATGCCTTTCCGAAGCGACTAAGGGCAATAGTTAAAGCAAAAGGCGATAGAATCGAAAAGTAAACATGTACATTTTAACTATAAAATGTAATAAAGAGAATAGAACAGAACCATTAAAACCATTTGTCTTTCCTTGGGAGATCCGATCCTTAATTCATGCGTCACTTATTTGGGCCTACCCTGTAGTGTCTTTGGAACAAGTCAAACATAATTCCGGAACAAAGAGAATTCTGGGGGATGTTCTAATGATCCAGCAAATTTTCCTGATGTTTTCGAAATATTCCTAAAATGCACTTAGGAGTATTCCATAATTTTGCGGCATTCCAAAAAATTCTTGTAATTTTCCTGAAGTAAATGGGGCTGTTTTGAAGTCCTCTGATCATCCAAGTACTTCAAGTACTTGGAACTTCCCTGATTATAATGAGGCTACCAGAATATCCCAAATCATCTTTGAATGTCTCTGGACTTTCTTGAAGGTTACGAAATTTCTTAAGTGCTCTCATATTTTTTTTAAAATTTATTGTAACATTAACATTAAATTTCTTTGATCTTCTCGATTTTTTTTTAAATTGCACTGCCATTAAAGGCATGGAACTTCTTATAAAATGTTCTCACAATGTTTTAATGTTCATGTAACTTTTCTTACGTTTCTTAAACTTGCATGGGCCCCTCGGAACATTGCTGAAGTTTTCGGAAATTGCCTGAGTTTCTCGGAAATCTTTTAAAATTTCAGCAATCTCCATGAAATTAATTGATCGATTGTTTCTCGAGGGTGATGTGATGTGATGTGAATGGAACCCACCATCAGTGCAAGGATTACCAATGTCTGCAGATACTTTACCGGTTGTAAAGTTCTGCCTGATGGTTTGTTGCAGCAGAGTGAATCAGCTTCATTGAAGACCTTTGGAAGACAAAACGACCAGATGGCCATCTGTAATCACGTGACAAGGGACTGGCAAATCCACGAACCCTCGTCCAGTCAACAAATCCTTTGACTCCCTTAGGCTGCCCCTCCCCAACCCAATATACTATATAATGTTTTAATATATATTATTTACAGTAATGTTCCACCACATGTTCAAAAATGTGCAGACATTTGGCGTTCAATGATGATTTCAAATACACAAAAAATGGGATGTGTGGAGAAAACTCCATTAAGAATTTGCCAAATTTAAGAGAATCATGTAAATTTAGTTTATATATTTATTGTTGACTCTGTTGGGAGATACGATCTCACCAAGTTAGTCCACAGGAAGCATCCGTGCTATTGTTGCATTGTAGTTCCAATCAAAGGCGGTTTGCTTGATGGGGATCGACATGAACTAGTCCCGTCATATGTAGAACCAATTTGAAGTGTCCAATCGTCGAAAATGTTAACCGGATTAATGATTGTTTCTCGAGTCATGGGTAGCCAAAAACGATGAGGAAATGGAAACATTATTCGAAAGAGTATCAAGCATAAGCCATTTTTTTTTTAGAATTCGGAAATCTCAAAAAATTTAAGATATTCAAAAAGATACAAGTCTCTCACAATCATTTTCTTCCAAATTCGAGCGCGGGCAGGCCATAATAATTTGGTTTATTTTAAAAACTCGGCATAAATTGGTATAAAATCTCAAAAATCGGTATTCTGAGGAACCTTATCTGTATATCGGTATCTAGTTCGGAAATCGGTATAAATGCCGATAAATCGGTATACATGGCAACGCTGGGAAATGTACTTAATTTTGGGTGCTTTTAATCTGTGTGTAGAGCAACCGTTTTTGCTTACTGAGCAGAAGATCATGGGTTCTTTTGCTATGATCGTCGTCGTTGGCAGTACTATTCGTATATTTTAAATTAACCATTTGAACTGATCCAAATTTGAGATTTTGATATCCTTCAGTTTTGATAGCATGTAGGATCAAACGAAAAAAATCCAATGCATTCAGATCAGGAGAGCTGGGAGGCCATTCAGTCTTCACCAGGAAAGCCACGGGGAAAATTATTTATTTTGAAGTGTGTATGTAAAGCAAATTTTAAATAAAATTATTTGTTATTTGAGTTTTTCACACTTTTTTTTTAATTTTGCCATGATCATTAAAAAAATGGTATAGATTTTTCCACGAAAGCAATAATTTTTTCCTACAACTTTTTCTCAGACGCCATTTTGATTGGAAGTCACGTTTTCGTACTATAATTTTTTGAAAATTTCTCGTTTTTGCGGGACTCAAAATGGTCGTATTTCAGCTCAAATTTGAATTATTAGCCTTAACAAGCAATTATGTAAAGTTTCACTCAAATCATGAACATCTTTGGATGATCCCTGAGCTTGTATTTAAATCGCTTGAATTTGAACTAAAATTGAACGCGATCCTTGCTCATTTAAAAACATCGTCAAACCTGAATTAATCTGTTAAAAACACAAATCATCCTGAAAACGACAACGAATCCATTTCAACGAACGGACGCCTCGCAGACATCCATACTGCGAATCGCATTGAATACCCTCAAGCCACACACGACGGGTCACTCCAGTCGCTCACTCTCGCCTGCTCACATATCACCTTCCGGGAGCAACAACCGCGAGAGCGAGTGCGAGAGAATGTGAGTTCCTCGTGCAGTTCGACTGGAAAAGCGCCAACATCGTGTCACTCTCACGAGCTCCGATGCTGCTGCTGCTGCGGACACTCACCCCTCATGTGTTGGAACTGGCCGTGTGCCGCCGCCGCTGCTACGAACGGGGCTACCCTTTTGCCCATTTTTCCCGAATGCATCGAATTTTCTTCGCTTTTCATCTCAGTTAGAATTTGCTCTCGTTGCTAGACAAAGGTGATTTCTCATGTAACCGTGCGTAAAAGCAACTGGCTCTGGGTCTGTATGTATGTTGTGTTTTTCGGTTCTGTTCTGGCTTTAAATCTCAAGTGTGCGGTGTACTGTCTTTCCCCGTGGTCGACGGTGGTGGGATGAATTTTGATTTAAGGCGAAACTGCGTCCAATGTTGCGGCGGTGAACGAGAGTACACCTGTGAAGTGAATTAATTGCATCGCAGTGAGCCGTGGATAATCCAGAACGTAAGAAAGCTAAATAGTTAGTGTGCAGTTGCTTGGAAGGTGCCAGCGTCGGGCAGTGCAGAAGAGATCGATCGGGGTGTGCTAAGGTGAAGCTGAGAGGTGAAAAGAGTGCGGAGGTTGTGTGTTTTCTGTTTCAAGAAGAAGTTGTGGGAGGCCTCGGTCGGTGCTTTTTTTTTTTGCTTTCTTCAAACAAGTGTGTTTGCCAAGTTTTCCGCCGCCTTCGAGAGGTCAACTATTGCTGCCTACCTACCACACCGGGTGGTGCTCTCAGCTGGTGTTGTATGAAAAATTATTGATTGCAATTTCAAGAGGAGCCAGAAGTCAAGCAGCAGAACGGGGCAATTGTTGTCGGTCGGTCGGCTACCTACATATCTATGAATGTTGTTCAAAAGCGATGGCGATGCAGTAGATGAAAATTGGAGCACAAATGAGCATTGCCGTGTAGTTTAGTTTTCGAAGAAAAAAGAAAACAACCAGGTTTCTGTCATTCGGAAAGCAATATTTTCAAACGAAACAAGATTATCTCAGAAAAACGAGATCGTGTGCGGCTGTCATCTGGCTGGCTAGGTGTTTGGTGTGATACGTGATGTGTTTGTGTGTTTTTTCGGTGTCATAATCCTAAGGAGCGCTAGCGAAAAAGTGTCATTATTAGCCAAGGAGCCGAATTCAGTGAAAGTGGAATTAATTTGACGTCGACGACGTCTGTTTTTGCAGCCGAATCAAAGGGAATCATTCGACGCACACACGCACAGAAGGTGTTATGTAATTTTAATTGGAATTGTGGCAACGCAATCTTTCCGCCAGACGCACAGTCTGAAGTGGAAACAACGGAAAGATTACCGACTACAGAGCGTTCAGAGGCGAAGGAGCAGAATTACTCGTGCAATCGGAGGAGGCGCGCGATCTCCGACAAACTTAGCTGCTGCTGCTGTCGTTGGCATTGGAGACGTTTTTGAGAAAGGTATGTTTTTAATGGCTTGGAGTTGTTCCCGGTGTCAGGTGGTTGGAATTTTGGCCTCCTAATTCCGTCTCGTTATTGAAGGAGTTATTTTCGGTCCGTTAGCTGCGACGTACTTTCTCGAGCGTGGTGAATGTGAAGCATCTTTTCGGATGAGTGTTACTGTTTTATGCTTTTAATTATTCGGGGTTTGATTACAGGTACTGCACTAAACTGTGTTCTCGACAGTTGATAATTAATTAATTCAAGGAGTGAATGCATTGTAGGTTATCTTTTGGAATATTTTAATCAAATATACTTGTCCTGCGATGAGACGCTGTCGATGAGTTTATCGACTCACGAAAATATGGAGATGTAAGATGGAATCGTCACAGTAATCTAAACAAAACAATTTTACAGATAGTTTCACAGTGAACTATCAACAATTCGTTATTCGTTTTGTGATATTGTGTTATGGATCCAAGGTAAAACATGACTCTCGTAGCTTCTGTGTTCTATAACTCAGTCGATGATGTTTTCAATACCAAGTTGTTAAGAGATGACTGTGGTAACCTGGTGGTTACTAATGATTACTCCAAGAATAACCAGCTAAGAAAACTGATGAATATGATTCTTTAATTAATATTAGCTGGGCGCAACAATATCAACCAACTTGCGCTTCTTTTATAAGAGCTTGCGCACCAAAATGCATAAGGGAATTTTTGGACGCCCATCCAGATTAGTATGCGCTCATATGAGCAAAATTGCACTGCTAACATATAGCATGAGAAATGCTCTGTCTTAATCCAGATTCAATTTGTATCTTGTATCTATTTAAATATGGAATGAAAATATCCAATCTCAGAAGCAAACGTTGTAAAAAGACTGGTTACAACTGTGTCTTAAAATATGTGAGTGTACAGCTTGTATCATATGCGCTCAAATTTACGATTGCTTCAGGACAGTCCCAATGATTTCGGGAACATTATTTCTGACGAAGACCTCCGAGCTTCAGGGCAGTTCCATTAACTTCAGGAAATCTGCAGAAACTTTTTAGTAAACCTTGGGGCAGTTTTGAAAACTTCAGGGCAGTTCCATGAATATCTGGTAAAATGCGGGAACCTCAGGGAATTTCCGAGAAGTTCCATTAATTTCCGTAAAATAGCGGAAAACTTCAATAAGTTACACAAACTTAAGGATAGTCCAATGACCTTCAAGGAAGTTTGGAAAACTTAACAAACATTTCGGAAACTTCCAAGAAATCCAAGAAATTCACGGAGAACTTCAGGGAAGTTTACAGATTTTTAGTGCAGTTCCATTAATTTCGGGGCAACTAAAGGAACAGAATCAGGATAGTGAGAACCTTGGGGGAAGTTAACTTCCCAAAAAATGTAGGAACTTTAAAGAAGTTCTGAGGAATGAAAGGAAATGACGGGAACAGAAGGGAAGTTTCGAACACTTTTGGAACATTCTGAAGAAAAAAGACATAATCTCCGAATTTTACACCAGTCCTCCGGAGACAACAGAACGGTTTCTGGTTTTTGATGATCTGGAACAGGTGTTGGAAATGGCCAATTTCTGTTTTGCGTTGTGTGCCCAAAATGACATGTGCCCTTTGATAATCGTTGCCAGAAAAGAAGTGGTCGAAATCATCAAAAAGTCAACAAGAAATAGGTTTGAATTCAACGCATGTATCTCAAACGATATTTTTAAACATTGTTCGAAACTGGTTCTAGGTATCCGGATGTGACCAGATCCACCCGTTGGTCCAAGACATGATGTCTATTTAATTCTGGATGAAAAATCATAAATTTTTAGCCGTCGGACGACACCACTGCATGAGGGTTAGGAAGTGTCTTTTTTGGGGCCTTCCTGGAACCGGTTCCAGGTATCTACATGTGGCCAGATCCATATGTCAGTCCATGGCATAATGTTTCATCTGGTTAAAAAATCATAAATTTTGAGCCGTCGGACGATACCACTGAATGAGGGTTAGGAAGTTTCTTTTTTGGGCCCTGTTGGAACCGGCTTTGGGTATCCATTTGTGACCAAATCCACTTGTCGGTCCATGGTATAATGTCTATTTACTTCTGGTTAAAAAATGATAAATTTTGAGCCGTCGAACGATACCACTGCATGAGGGTTAGGAAGTGTCCTTTTTGGGGCCTTCCTGGAACCAGTTCCAGGTATCCACATTTGGCCAGATCCATATGTCGGTCCATGGCATAATGTCTTTTTACATCTGGTTAAAAAATCATAAATTTTGAGCCGTCGGACGATGCCACTACTGAATGAGGGTTATGAAGTGTCTTTTTAGGGCCCTACTGGAGCCGGTTCCGGTTATCCAGATGTGACCAAATCCACCTACTAGATCATGAAATGATGTCTATTAACTTCTGAACGAAATATCATAAATTTTGAGCCGTCGGACGGTACCAGTGCATGAGGTTTTGGAACTGTCCTTTTTGGGGCCCTACTGGAATCGGTTCTGGGTATTTGGTCAAATCAACCTGCTTTTTTGTGGCATGATATCTATTTACTTCCTGTTGAAAAATCATAAATTTGGAGCCGTCGGACGCTTCCAGTACATGAGGTTTAGAAAGTGACCTTTTTGAGCCCTACCGGAACCGGATCCGGGTATCCGGTTGTGCCCAGATTCACCTTATGGTTCATGGTTTTGGAAGTGTCCATTTGTGTCCTATCGGAACCGGTGGCCAAATTGGAAAAAATCTTGGGCAGGGTGTCATTCTTTCTTTTGAATCCAATAGATCAATAATCGGTTCAAAAATGGATTTTCGGGAGCAAGTTGCGGTCTGGGTCTACTTAGACCCTAATGCACAGTGTGTAACTTTTTTTGTAGCGCCACTCCTAGATGTCACTGAAAGCTTCTTTTGACAGCAAAATGTTCGTTTCCGAAAGTTAGTAAAAGTGATGGATTTTCAGGTCTCTATCATATTTCGTTACACAGTTACAGCTTTTTTTAAAGTGACGCCGGGTCAAAATAGACCCTAATGCACTAAGAAGGTTACATCTTGATTTAAACAGGACGCTAGAAAAAAAGCGTTAACTTTAACAGATTTGTAGAAACATTTCCAATCGATTGGCTTGCTTAGAATTAAAATCCATCTGCTATTGACAGAGTTATAAGTGGTCAAAACCTGACCTCTTTTCGTAACGTGGTCGATTTTGATTTTTTTGAATTTGCACCCCCAATATGTTGCTGAAAAAATTGGAAGTTTGGAGGAGAACTTCAAAGATGCTCGGAGAAGAACTTCAGAGAATTTCAGATGAGAACTACAGAGAAGTTGGATAGAGAACTTCAGAGAAGTTTGGAACGAGAACTTGAGAGGAGATTGGAGGAGAACTTCAGAGAAATTCGGAGGAGTACTTCAGAGAAGTTCGGATGAGAACTACAGAGCAGATGGGACGAGAACTTCAGAGAAGTTAGGAGAAGAACTTCAGAGAAGCTGGGACGAGATCTTCAGAGAAGTATGGAGTTCATCTTCTTCTTCTTCCTCGCATTTCAAGCTTATTGCATATCGCATATTATCTTATTGCGTGCTCTCAACTTAGTGTTCTAGATGCACTTCCACAGTTATTAATTGAGAGATTTCGATGCTTGTACCATTTTTGCATTGGTATAATTGTGTGGCAAGTCCAATCATACTTTTATGCCCAGGGAAGTTGAGAAATTTTCAAACCCGAAAAGTTCCTAGACCGGACCGGGAATCGAACCCAGCCACCTCCAGCATGGTCTTGCTTTGTAGCTGCGCCTTCACCGACTGAGCTAAAGGAGGCCCCATGGAGTACTTCAGAGAAGAAATTTTGAGGAGTACTTTAGAGAAGTTTGGAGGAGTACTTTAGAGAAGTTTGGAGGTGAACTTCAGAGAAGGTGGGACGAGATCTTCAGAGGAGATTGGAGGAGATCTTCAGAAAAGTTCGGAGGAATACTTCAAAGAAGTTTGGATGAGAACTTCTGAGAAACTGAGAGGGGAATTATGAACGAGAACTTTAGAGAAGTTTGGAGAAGAAATTCAGAGAAGTTCGAAGGAGTATTACAGATAAGTTCGGATGAGTACTTCAGAGAAGTTCGGATGTGATTTTCAGAGAAACAGGGAGAAGTTATGAACGAGAACTTTAGAGAAGTTTGGAAGAAATCTTTAGAAAAGCTCGGAGGAGTATGCAGAGAAGTTTGGATGAGAAGTTCGGAGGTGATTTTCAGAGAAGCTCGGAGGAGAATTTCAGAGAAGTTTAGAGAAGAACTTCAGAGAAGCTGGGACGAGATCTTCAGAGAAGTATGGAGTACTTCAGAGAAGGTTAATGGAGAACTTCAGAGAAGTTTTGAGGAGTACTTTAGAGAAGTTTTGAGGTGAACTTCAGAGAAGGTGGGACGAGACCTTCAGAGAAGTATGGACCGAGAACTTCAGAGGAGATTGGAGAAGATCTTCAGAATAGTTCGGAGGAATACTTCAAAAACAGTTCAAGTGAGAACTTCAGAGAAACTGAGAGAAGTTATGAATGAGAACTTTAGAGAAGTTTGGATGAGAACTTCAGAGAAGTTTGGATGTAATTTTCAGAGAAACTGGGAGAAGTTATGAACGAGAACTTTAGAGAAGTTCGGATGAGATCTACAGAGAAGATGGGACGAGAACTTCGGAGAAGTTTGGAACGAGAACCTTAGAGAAGTTTGGAGGAGAACTATAGAGAAGTTTGGAACGAGAACTTTAGAGCAGTTTGAAGGAAATTTTCTGAAAAGTTTGGAGGAGTACTTTAGAGAAGTTTTGATGAGAAGTTCGGAGGTGATTTTCAGAGAAGATCGGAGGAGAACTTTAGAGAAGTTTGGAGGTGAACTTCAGAAAAGCTGGGACGAGATTTTCAGAGAAGTATGGAGAACTTCAGAGAAGTTTGGTGGAGAACTTCAGAGAAGTTTTGAAGAGTACTTTAGAGAAGTTTGTAGGTGAACTTCAGAGAAGGTGGGACGGTATCTCCAGAGAAGTATGGAACGAGAACTTCAGAGAAGATTG